TGGTTTGAGGGGGGCACAGGCATGGGGGGAGGGTGGCTCCTGCTGCTCTGTGCACTCCTGGGCAAGCATGGGGGGCTCATGCCCCCAAGATCTGTGTGCAGGGCAAGGGTGGGCTGCCGCTGCGGGCTTGCTGGAGGAGGCTCGGAGGCCGCTTGCTGCTGGACCCTGTGATGTTTCTGTGCAACCCCCCAACCCTGATGTTTCTGTCACTGCTGGCTCTGTGGTATGTGTTCACTTGAGATGTTTCCACCCTTAAATCTGCACCTGGGGGCTTGCCAGGCCCTGGGGTTTTCTCCCCCTTCTCAGTAATAGGGTAGGGGCCCTGTTACTGTCCCCTTCCCCTGTGCCCAACCCTGATAACTCATCTGGGTTTAGCACCCACAAAAAAATCAGCTACTAGCCTCAGGCTCCTGGAGAGAAGATTTCAGTCACTCACAAACAGCCTCTGCAAAGCAAACCCTTTGCTTATTCAGCAAGAGGTATGTAACAGAGAAAAGAGTTAAACCTGGTACACAACTGATCTAATCTAAACTTTATCCTCAGAGGGAGAAGCAGCTCTGAAATGACCTGATGTTCAAAGACAGGTGCAGAATATCTCACATCCTGATGTGGAAACTCTGAAATAAGGAACCAGGGAATGCTGGAGACGGCCAAGATCTGTGAGAGATGATGAGCCCAACAGATGCCAAACTGACCTGCACCTAAAAAGAAAATCTGCTCTTCATATGGTCCATGCGATTGATCCTACCTATTGCCTTCAGTGGGAGTTTTACCACTGTCTTCAAGAGATATAGGAATGGCCTCATGGCCACCAGTACCCAGCTTGTTCTTCCCTTTAAATTCCTTGTCTTTGTGTTCTTCTGCCATAGAAAGGAGACTAAAAGAATACAAGAGCCACTAATTGCACTGCTACCCCTCTGTTATTACTTTTATCTGTGGACTAGGTAATTAGCAATTAGGCTTTTAATTTTGTTTCCTAGGAGCACAAGAGCTGTAATTAGGCAGCTCAGAAACGTAAGAGCTTTGGAGGTGCATTTTGTGTCTGTTTTGTTTAAACCTTTGTTGGGAGGGTGGCATATAAATTGCACAGATAAATATATACATACATGCACACACAAATAAATAAATAAATACATTCCTGGTCCTACTTGCCCTTTGCAGGGAGCCTGAGGGCTACAAATATCCCACATGAAAATTAGACTGAGGATCAGATTTTGAACACCCTTAACCAATTCTTTTTAAATCCAGAAGTACTGGACTTGATCTAGCACTCTGAAGCAGTCGGCACTCCTGGGGCCATCAGTCACTTAAGGACCCGTGAAAGAATTTCTATGGTCATTTATAGTGGATCATGACTGCACTGGTTTTAATCTCTTTATTTCCATTGTGCTGGTGCTGGTTAATCTGGCAACACCAGGCCATGCACTGAAACTGATAGGTGGACATGCCCACCATAGTTTTGGATCAGCAGGTAGCACGTATAGGACAGGGCATATATAAGCAGCTACTGTACAAGACAGGGGTGCTCAACCCCAACCCACAAGCCATGTCATGTAACTGGCCCCCATGGGTCTGATAATGTGGTGCTGAGGGAGTGGTGGCAGTGTTAATTGCTACTCCCCTGCTGCCAGATTTCCAGACTCATGGGGAGCCTAGCAAGGCAGATAGTGTGGCCCTGAACACTAGATAGGGCACATGGGGCCTGGTCAGGGCAGCACAGGGCCTGATCTGGGTGTATGGGGCCCAACACTGTGAGGGATCTGGCCTGTGGACCAGCCCTGCCCCAATCATCTGGCCCATGGGACTAAAAGGTTGAGCACCACTGGTATAAGATATGCAATCTGTGGAATCACACGGGGAAAACTGTTTTGCTCTTACTTGCTAGGCGAAAGAAAAACCTTTTTGACTCGTATATTGACCCTGCTGCCTGGAAATATCTTGGCCTCTGATAATAACCAAGGCACCCAACAGCAAGGTGAATCTCTGGGTGTAATAGGATTCTATGAACAATCAAGTCAATTCTCATGTCAGGCTGGTAACAGATGTGCCCAACCAACTGGGGGAATAAGCTTCATGCTAAATTGTCAGGCAACTGTTATGGATGACTCATGAAGCAAGGAGAATGGGGTTGAGGGCAGCTGTGTCCAGGCCATGTCCAGGGCCAGGAGCAATCAACACCATGGTGAAGAAAGGCCATGGGCCATGTGATCTCAAGAAAAGTGGTGCCTCTGCAAAAAGAGACTTTCCTCTTTAATTAGCTGGGAAAACAACAAAAGAATAAGAGAAAGCAATCTGTAGCTGATACAACACTGCCAGGAACTATCTTGGTGATTTATAGGAAGGGAATAGTGCAATACAAAAAGCTGCCAGCCAACAGACAGGCATGTTTTTTGCTGACTGGAGAAAACAAATAGGGGCTGATCGGATTCTCAGGGCAGTGGTTGCTCTTGTGAGCCATTTACTTGAGTTGTTATAATGAGCTATAGGCTTCCCCTTTTGTTTGCTGAGCTAAATCATCTAGAGTTTATGAGTTTATTTCTGGCTGTCGTATGCAGTTTGGAAAGGCTAGCATGCAGAAAGGATGCTGTGCTTGCAGCAGAAGAGAAATGGCTGAGAATCACTGTGGTTGGGAGACTGTGTGGCTCTGGGAACTTGTTGTAGAGCTGTCACCAATTCAAACCCAGGCTGAGTCACGATGGACCACAAGGTCTCCCATCAGACACCACAAACTGGCTCATATGGAATGAGTTAGAGATCCACAGAGAGGGGCATGCTGTACATCATTTAAATCTAGCTTTTGTCCCCATTCCAAAGTCTGGAGGTGTTTGTAGCAGAGGGACAGGCTCAATCCTGTAGCTAGCAAAACAGATACAAACCAGGACTACCATCCCAATGAATGTGGGCAATCTCAGTAACAGGGCAATGCCTGAAAGGACCAGAAAGATTGAACTGGTACAGTGGCATTACAATCATGCACCCAGTATTAAGAACCAGCCCAAATTATTATGTCCAGAAGGAGACCTTTGCATTTATCCAGATGAGAAATAGGGTGTTAGTTGCCTGGATTTCCACCATGTCCCAGGAGCAGACTATAATCTGATGCCCGGGCAATGCTCTTCCAATGGACTGACTTGGTAGAAGGAAGCAGGGTCCAGTCCCATGGTCAGTGTGTGAGTAGGGGTTGGATGTCATTGTTTAGCACAGCAGGTGTCTGGCAGCCATAGGGAATGAAGGATTGACATGTTCTTGGATCTCCCCTTTGCTTGGGTGGGTTTTCCAATCCCATTATAACTTTTTCCAGATCACTTTCTTTCCATCCCTGTCACTTTTTCTGCCTGGAAACCGTGTTCTCCACATAGTCAGCCAGATCCTCAGCCCCTTCATTGTCAAACTATAGCAGCAAACAAGGCTTCCCCTAGAGCAGAAAAATCCTGAGGAGACAGAAGGGGTGGTCCAAGGTAGGCTAAGATGTAGCTATAGGGTGCTTGTACATGTGGCGATGCTGCTGTCATGATGCATGTGACAAAAATTTCCCATTGTGTGGTGTGGCGGAGCACCAGTGGGGTGCTCGCCACTTTAGGGCTATCACAGGTTTTGGGAGAGCCTGTTTTTGGCGGCAGCAGCAGGGAAAAGCCTTCTGGGGTAAAAATTGTAAGGGGGAAGGTGGGTGTCAGAGCACCTTAAGTGCTCTGCCACTTTAAAACCTGGATCAGGCAGCAGGCAGGTGCGGCTCAGCCCTGATGAGTGGCCATTTTAAGTCCCAGGCCAGCAGGACTGGAGGTAGCAGTTTGCTGCCAGACACTGTGGAAGCAATATCTTCTGGAGGAGCTGCTGCTGCTTTGAGACCAGCTTGGAGATAAGGCTGAGGCTATGGGGAAGGAGGAGGCTTCATTGGTCCTGGGTATGACCTAAAACTGCACCCTGCCAGGATAGGGAGGCCTTGTGGTCCTGCCTGTGGTAGGGCAGGGTCACTTAAATGCCAGGCTTGAGGACCATCCTGGTGAAAGGTGGCTTGGGGTGCCTAAACCCCTGCCCCCACCACCTGGTGGGTTACCGTAATAACACTGGAGGGGGGAGTGGAGCCAGTAATGTCCATAGGGGACACCTGAGCTCACTGGGGTGCAAGACCCCAAAGGGGTGTGGTGGAAGCTAGGTAAGTTTTGAGAAGTGCCTAAGCCTGAAGGGGTGGAAGACCCTGTAAAAGGAGCAGTTGAAATCCTTGTGAGAGGAAGCACATGGGCGACTGGTGTCTCCTGAGTTAGAAGAGGCACTTCCCCCCCCCCATGGCTGATCATGCCAACCTGGAAGTGTCAGCCACAGGGGGGCACCATGGGGATCACTTCTTGCACCTGTGCTCCCTGGCTGGTTCCCTCAGGGGGGCACCAGTGCTCTCATCTGCCCCCATTGCCTAAGTGGGGAACGCTGCCTGTCAGGAGGTGCATCGCTGCTCTCAGGGTGCACATGTACCCCTGTGCATCCCTTAGGCGTCACCACTGAGGGAGCGAGGAGTGAACCAGGTATGCCAATGAGTGGCACCTAAGTCTGTGGGGGTGTTTGACCCCAGAGTGTGGGGGTGGAATAGAGAGTGGCAGTTGTGGAGCCCTGTTCATGAAGGGCTTGAGTGGGGGCTGGAGTTAGGTACAAGTAAGCCTCTGGGACCTGAGGCTGCAGGTGGGCAAGAAGCCATTTGGAGGGTGGCAGAGGAGGAGCCATGAGGAGAATGGGGGGCAAGTCATCTGGCCTTTTTTGGAGAGCAGCTGGGGGAGTTACCTGGCAACGCAGGATTTTGTGAACTGTCCAGTACTGGTACAGATGAGGGTAGCAGGAGATGCCCAAAAGGCTGCATGCTTTCTGGCTGGGGAGTGAAGAGTAGCAAGCCTAAAGACCCTCTAGGAGAGGGCAGGATGAGTGTGGTCCCTGGGAGAGAAGGGACGCTACGAGTGAGACCCAGGAAGGGTGGGATGCAAGAGACTGGGTGAGAGCTGGTGGAGTATGAGAGGTCTCCGTAAGATGGAGGCAGTGAGTGTGGCCCTAGCAGGGCAGCATGTGAGAGGCTCAATACTATGACAAGTTGGCCAGAGCTTAGCACGGCTGTAAGCAACATCTGCGAGGCATGGGATATGTGTAGAGATGGCCAGAGCGTGTATTTTGGCCCTTAGACATCAGGGCCCTCAAAGGGCAGCCTGCCGCCTAATTACCAACATAATTCTCTTTGGTCAAGGCATGGTAGGTGGGTGGAGGGCCAAAGGCAGGTAGGTGGCCAGCACAGTGCTGGTCAGGGAGTTCCCACTTGTTACATGTGGCTTAATGGCATCACACACTACACTTTATGTGAGTTTTGGGTGTTTTAAATGTTTGACTGCAACATTGCAAGTTGCAATATTGCAGTCATTAGTCAGCTCACCCTCCCACTGCAGGAGAGGCAGGCTCCACAGAAAAAAAGGATTGGGCCCTTCACTGCTTCTGCCTTCAGCAGGTTCCTGCAGACAGCAGGACACCTGGGGCCACCCAGGAATGGGCTGGCTTGCCCCTAGGGCAGCACAGGGAGGTGGCAGGAGGGCAGCTGGGTGTTCCCCTGGCTCAGGGAAGCTAGCAGATTTGCCCAAGCTTCCAGGGCCCCATGTACCATCCCCACCACCTTCTATAGCTGCTAGCACACCCAGCTGCCCTCCTGCCTTCTTCCTGCATTGCCCCAGGGGCAATCCAACCTGTTCTCAGGCAGTCCCAGGCATCCTGCTGGCCACAGGAGCCTGCTGAAGGCAGATCCTTTTTTTTCTGGGGAACATTCCAGCCTCTCTGGCAGCCGGGGGGGTGAGCTGATAGATTAATGGCACAAAATAATGCTCTCCCCTGGCCCCCCCCAGGGCTGTGGGAGAGATGGGCAGGCTCCCCTCTCCCCTTCCCTCCCCAACATGGGGCAGAGGGGAAAGGATTGAGCCCTTCCCCACTTCTGCCTTCAGCAAGTGCCTGTGGCCACCAGGACAATAACATACACAGTGCCGGAAAAATAAAATCCACTGTTTCAATTCAGGGGGCCTAGAATGCAACCCTATGGACTAAAAACCTGTCACATGTACAAGTGCCCATAAGCTACAGGCCAATGTACTGTGGCAATCCTGACCAGTGAGACCAGTTCCTTAAGATCCATTAGCTCTTGTTTCAAGTTAACCCTGAGGCTGCTCTGATTCAGCGTGCACCTGGGACTGACTGGGCTCGCATCAGTTTCCTAGGATAGAGGGGAAGGAGGCAGAAAGGTGGCATGGAGCCATGTATGCCCCCCAATTGCTCAAGCATGCTGAAAATTACCTAGAAGCTGTACAAAAAAAAACTAGAACTCTTGGTTCCAAAATGATACCTTTTATTAGACCAACTCGGAAATTGCAAGGAAATGTGTCCTTTTCTGCCACCTTTCAGGATCAAAGTCCCTTTGTCAGGGTCTAGAAAAAGTATAGATGGTACAAGATGGTAAAAAGTCCCCATAGGTAGGAAATAAACTTCTTAATTTTTGCACAGAGGGAGCTGAAGATGAAAGGCTGTCCCTCTGGGTTAAGTAAACACCTAGAAGCTGGGAATTTAGCCCCAAGAATTTAGCCTTGTGTGTCACAAATAAATGGAAGTACTTCCATCCTTGTGCCTTTTCTGGAGGTTTTTAGTTCATAGATGGAAGGAGAGACTGAGCAAAGCAGCAAATCTGAGCAGCAGGTAGAGGCTCTGGAATGAAGCGGCACTTGCGCATGGGACAGCCAGAAGGAGCTCAGTGAGAGGTGCCCATCCCCTTCCTAAACAAAATCCCCTTTGTTTGCTCCTGGTAATCTGCTTCCCGACAGGAATGTGCTTCAGAAACCACCCTGGGCAGGTGAGTGAGAGCAGCCCAAGGACGCCTTGTTGAAAAGGGGCTGCCTGGATGGGATGGTCAGGTGTGCCAGGCTGTGATCTTGGGTGCCAGCTGCAGGGTGGAACAGGAGATGGGGTAAGACGAGGGGCTGGAAACATCCAGGATCCCAAGGGGAAGCTGGAGGAGGACTGCGCTATAGTCTGCTCCTGGCTGCGGCATCCTCTTAAGTAGACACTTCATGGAAAAGAAGACACCGGAGGTCTAAACACTCCAGAGAAACCTGAGCTGGAGCTGTTCATTGTTCAAAGTAGCAAGGAGTAGTCTGGCACAAAGCTGCTGTAATCTGCTTGCCTAGCACAGCAGCCATGCTGGGCCCCCTCCTAGCGGGCCATGATGTAACAGCCCACAAGCTGTCCCACAGCAGCAGAGGAAGGCAGAGCAGCCATTTATGCTATGCTGCTCTGCTCTGGTCTGAGCCAGAGGTCAAGGTCTAGCATAAATGAGGGACTTGACCTTCCATCTTGCTCTCTGCAGCAGGCTCTGACTATGCACAGGGGTCTCTCCCTCTCTCTCCCCCC